TCAAAAAAAAAAAAAAAAGATTTGTTGTAGCATATGTCAGTACCTCATCCCATTTTCTTGACAGAGGCAGTCCATTGTAGTTAATCTACTCGTCAGTGGGGCATTTGTATTGTTTCCACTTTTTGACTATTAGGAATAACGTTGGTAAGAAAGTTTGTGTTCAGGTTTTGTATGGATACATGTTTTCATTTCTTTTGAGTTTATAGTGGGTCATGTGCTCACAGTAGTTAACCTTTTAGGGAATTGCCAGATTGTTTTTCCAAAGTGGCTGTATCATTTTACCTTCCCCAAGCATTGTATGAGGGTTCCAGTTTCTCTAAATCTTCAACACTAAAGATGATTTTTCTTTTGATTATAGCCATACTAGTGGTTGTGAAGTGGTATCTCATTGTGGTTGATTTGTATTTCCCTGCTGAATGATACTGTTCATCATTTTATTTGTTATTGGCCATTTGATAATCTTCTTTGGAAAAATGCCTCTTCAGATTCCTTACCCATTTGTCGATCTTTTTTGGAGAAATGTCTGTTGAAATCCTTTGCCTGTTTTTTAATTGGGTTATTATTTTAATGTTGAGTTGTAAGTGTTCTTTGAATATACCAGATATAAGTCCCTTATATGTATGATTTGAAAAATATTTTTTCTATTACACGGATTGTCTTTTCACTTCAAAGGTGGTGTCCTTTGAAGCACAAGTTTTGAATTTTGATAAAGTCTGGTTTATTTTTTTATTGCGTCACTTGGAGCTGGATGTCCTACAATTGAATGCAATTCTGACGGTAACCACCCAGAGTTATTATCAGATCCCAGAAGTGAAAGAGCAGGGTCTCCAGTAAGACTGCCCTTATTTCAGACACCCTGCAATTTGTGTTTCCACACTACTCCCATGTGAATTTGTAAATGACTGCCCTGCCGTTTACAAATTCACATCTTTCCATAACCCTGTTAAGATTAAAAATTCACTAGAATGGCTCACATAACTTACTCACTTTTGTGCTGTACTTTTGACTATAGTTTTATTATAA